GACCATCAATGGGCTGATATTTTTACCAAACCCCTTTCAGAAGATAGATTTAAATTCATTTTGAAAAATATTTGTATGGAATTATGTCATGAATAAAATTGTATTTATCTTCTGTGTTTGACTTCATAATGTTCTGAAATGAATGTTCTGATTAACAACTCTTCAGAAGTTAGAAGAGAAGTTACATCAGAAGCTATATGTAAAGTTCTGAAATGTTCTAACGTTTCATTTCTAGTATAGCTCAGCAGTTCATTAGATCAAACATATGTGCCATGCAACCTTCAGGAGATGAACACGTGGTGTGTTTCTGAAAGGTCACGCGTGCTAAGCTATTGACGCTGTTCTAGGTAACTGTTATGATTTGATTAAAATATCACGCTTTCCCCTCACTTTTCCATATCATTAAATGCTAAGTCATGATTAGATTCTTTTTAATTAAATTTTTATTAAATATTTTTTTACAGTTTTATTTTTAACCTATTTCTCAAAAGTTTTCATATAAATTTCTTTGTAAAAACCCTCTCTCACTTTTTACCTTCTCTTTCAAAATTCAACCGTCTCTGTGTATTTTTCTCTACAACCCTTTTTCTTCTCTCAACCTAAGTGATCCAATGGCTTCCTTCTCTGCTCATTCTGAGAACACTCAAGATGAACAGTACGTCATTCCTGAAAGAAGCACTCTCATTCCAGTGGATAACATAGAGGTTATAAGTGAATTAATGGTGGACTTTGAGAATCTTAAACAAATGGATTTGATCTTATTCATATTGTGGAGTTTCAAGGATGGGGAAACTTCTTTAACCGTCTAGTTGGTCTTATTTTTCCACACCTTGTTAAGGAATTCTGGATACACGCAATTGCTTCTTCAAAAGTCATCCTCTCATTCGTGATGGGTAAGGAAATCTCCATTACTGAAAATCTAATTAGAAAACTTCTAGGTTTTGAAGGAACTGGAGTAACTGGAATCTCTAGCGGTAGAATGGAAATGTCAAAAGTTTATGCATAACTTTTTACAAATGGGCAAGCGTCTTCAAAGGTCAGAGATTTGAAAAATAAGTACAAAATCCGGGCAAGAATCATCCATGGTTACATTCATCATAGGAAGGAAACAAGTTCTCCAGATTATATAAATGCTGACCAATAATACTTGTTGTTCTGTCTTGGAACAAATGTCAAGATTGATTTACCCCATCTCTTGTTTGATCATCTCTGGACTCATGTCAAAGAAACGAGAAAAGCAGAAAGAATGAAGAACCCTAAATCCAAAAGGAATTGGATTCCAATTGGGAGATTGACTTCAAACATTCTGACTGAGAATGGGCTGATTGCTTACTTAGATGAAGCAAATCTGCCGGGGGAGTTAGAGCCTACATGTGGGAAAGCTTTGTCTGGAAAGAACTTGGTGAAGAGAAAAATTATTGACAAATTACTGATAGAACCAACTCCCTATGTTTCAGCATCCATTACCAGAAGAAGGATTCCAATTGCTGATTTTCCACTGTTCAACTTAGGAGATCACCCTCGCATCATCCTGCATTACATTTAAATTTGCAAAGAAAGTGGAACACCAATTGATCCTGCTTGGCTTCAAGGAAGACATGAAGCTGCTCCAGATGTTGTCTTTCAGCAACCAATGAAGAGGAAAGCAGTTGAAGGACCATCTTCCAGACCTCAGAAGAAGAAGAAGAAATCAGGTACACCTACTAAGACTATTTGTGTTAATGATTCTGAAAATATATCTACATCTGCTGAACCCCAAACCTTAGGTGACATAGATGTTGACATACACCTGACCATACCCTCTGAACCTCTTGCTGAAAATCCTCAAAGAAATCAAGTTTTATTAGACTTGAGTGATTTTGACTCTGATTACTCCTCTAAAACCCAAACAGAACCATCTCACTCAGAACCATCTCAAACACCTATTCCTGCTGAAAACCTTTCTAGACCTCCTCCCAGACCTTTATCACCCAGACCTACTGGATGGTATGATGCTGGCTCTTGGAGAATACCAGAAATCAACGAACCTCTGGACACTCTAAAGCCACCATTCACCCTACCTTCTGAAAATATCTTTTCCATGAACAGAACACAACCACAAAATCCTACCCCAACTGCTGACAACACCATAATCATTTCACCTGACATCACACCACCCACATCTCCACAACTTCCAACACCTAACTCACCAATGCTTTCACCTTCTCAATCTCCAGAACATAACCTCCATCCATCACATGAACAATCTGAACCCTGTGAACCATCAGCAACACATGAACCCTCTGAAACTCTCAATCCATCAGAAACACTTGAACCTTTTGAACAACCTGAAACTGAAACACCTGAACAATCAGAAAATCCCGAACCAGCTGACTTTCTGAAAACTGTAGTTGATTTTGAATCTCTACAATTTCTGGAAAAACCCCCTTCAAAAAGGCAGTTCCTAAACCTGTTCAGCCATATGTAAATATATGTTTTCAGAATTTCTTAACAGAAGTACAAGCTTGGTTGGACCTGCTGAAGGTAGATTGCACCAGAAATGTGAACCCAACAACAACAGATCTTCTGTGAGAAACATTCAGAAGAACCCTAGATGCTGAGTCACTGAAGCTGCAAGACGTATGTCACTCTCAGGTGCTTGAGAACTTCTCCAAACATCTGCATACCTTTCAGTCAGAAGTTGTTTATATTTGGGACAAGAAGTCTTCTCTGATGATTGCTGATGCTCCAGCTGATCAAATGGACATTTCAGAAGATAAATCTGAAGATGCCTCTGAAGATTCAAATCCTCTGGCAATAGTTCTGTTGAATCAACCTTCTGCTAAAGCTGCACCTGAACCTGTGCCAACTCTTATTGTGGATCTGAGCACTCTTCTTTCAACTTTTGCTCGTTCTGACTCAACGGTTGCTACTCCAAAGGCTGTATCTGCTGAAGCTTCTACATCCTCTGATCCTACTTCACTTGTAATGGATACTATGAATGAGCTTAAGAGGGATAACGAAGCTATTCATGATCGCTTGGACAAGCAAGATCAGACAAATCAGGAAATCAGAAACTGGATGATGAAACAAGAGGAATCTGCATCTGAGATCAAGAATCTTCTTATGGCCCTTGTTTCTAAGAAATCTTAGTGTCATTCTATTTCTTGTTTTTGTTTGTTGTTTTTGTACCTCTGAATATTTTATTAAAAAAAACTTTTACGCTCTTCAACTATTTTTATATACTTTTTGATTATGCCAAAAATGGGGAGAAAATGAGTATTTTGATCTAATCTCTGATTAATAGTTATGGGACTAAGTCTCAAACATTCTAACAAAATATAAATATTTCTTTCTATGTTTAAAAGAATTTTGCAGGTATCACTTAAATTCTGGAAGTTTAATTCAAATAAACATTATCTTCAAAAGACTTGCTGAAGAAATCCCAGAAGAAAATTTCAAAGCTCTGATGAAAATTCTCAGGAAGTTTTTCTTATAGAAATATTTATTTCAGGGGAAGATTCTTATCTCTTATTCAAATTTATTTATATATCTGAATATTTTTGTCATCATCAAAAAGGGGGAGATTGTTAGAACAAGATTAGTTCTGATCATATCTCAGAGTTTTGATGATAACAATAAATTATATTTTATATATTTGATACTCTGATAAACATATTTAATTGTTTCAGACAATGTTCTGACAGAAGCATTTTGATGTGCTGAGCTGAAAATAAATGAAGAAGTTCTTTGATGAAAGAACTATTTGTTTTAGCGCAAGTGCTGATGCTGACTCTGATAAGAAATTATTTAATGCATCTTCTAACGCTTAGCAGGTTTCCATGTTCAGAAGTACTTTGAAAGCAAGCGCTGATCAAAAGTACTTAGCAAGCAAGCGTTGATAAGAAGATATGCAAGCATGTTCTGAATCAAGACGTGAAGCTAAGTTCTGAAATAATATAGAAGCTAACAAGTCTTGTCAAGGATCAGGAGACATGCTCTGACAAAGTGCCGTTTGCTCATTTAATACAAAGACGGCTACATGCACTCAAGTGTCTACGCTAGTTCATTGGAAAATGCAAATACTGCAAGCAAACACGCAAACATTAAATGCTCTCCACGTTTGAAGGCAACAACGGTCAAGTTTCTTCATACTATATATAGAAGAACATTTATTGCAAGCTAACTACTAAACAAATTCAAAAGAAGTAAGAATTACGTGAAAATATTCTGGACTCACAAATTATTTTTCATACACTTTGTGCAATACTAATCTAACTGAAAAATCAAAGTTGTGATATAGCTTTCTTAGAGGCAAATTTTGTTTCACTATCTGTAAAGATTTAACTCTTGTAATTGTTCCTTGAGAGACCAAGTTTGGTCAGATTTCTCAAGTAGACTAGGACTAGTTTAAGTCTTAGTGGTGTTAGTCACTTCCAACTTTACTTGTGCATTGTTAGTCACAACAGTTGTTGTGTGATTGTAATCAGTTGATTATAGTTAATTAAGTCCTTGTTGAGAAAGACGAAATCACCTTGACGGGTGGACTGTAGTAGTTTGAGTTCAAACGAACCAGGATAAAAATAACCGTGTCTTTTCATTATTGTTGAGCTTTTAAGTAAAAGATAAAGAGAAACTTATTCAACCCCCTTCTAAGTGTTTTCTCAACCTTCATTTTTGAAATGTCTAACATATATTTTATGAAATTAATTGTTATGTATGATCAGTGTAATTTTTTTTTATATAATTAGTGCATCACAACCACCCACAAATATTATTTTATAAATAATTAAAATAAAAATAAAATATAATTTATAATTTAACGATTGTGTTTTAGTATAAATTTCTTTATAGTGCGAATGTATTCCAATTAAATTTATATTTTATATAATTTAATTTATTTTCTATAAAAGATATTAGTAATGATATTCTGTATGATGATCTTTAACCTTAGTTGTGCCAAAAAGAAAGTTAAATTAAGACAAATTAGTAGTGGCAAGTGATAAGAAAGAAAGGAAAAAATGGAAGGTAAACTGTCGCGTACAGCAAAGAAGCTTACATCCTCTCCCATTCAAGAACTCTCCCACCTTGCTCAGAGATGCAACGCTATCAACCTCGCCGAAGGCTTCCCGGACTTCCCTGCTCCTCTCCACATCAAAAATGCCGCCGTTTCCGCCATCAATTCCGACCTCAATCAGTACAGGTTTTCATTACTTTAATTACTTCACACACAACTGAAACTACTATTTGATACAATCTATCTACTCTTTGTACTTGGAGGCACGTGCAAGGTATATGTGAACACTTGGCCAAGACCGTGAAGGAAATGCATGGCTTAGACATCGACCCTCTTACGGATGTAGCTATTTCTTGTGGTCAAACTGAGGCATTTGCAGCTTCAATCTTCGCAAGTATGCTTTATTGTTAATGAATTCATTACATGGTTAAATATGTTTACCATAGTGTCAGATACTTGACACGCCTTAAATTTGAAATGTCCGTGTAATCTAATGTTGGCTCTTTCTCTAATATCATAGTATGTTCTGTTTCAAACAGCGATTGACCCGGGGGACGAAGTCATACTTTTTGACCCTTCTTATGAAACATATCAAGGATGTGTGACCATGGCCGGTGGTGTCCCTGTAAGCTTGCTATTCCACCTACATAGTATTCAGCATCAATTTTTCTGTATACAATTACAAACCTATGATCCTGCATATTTGCTGTCCATTTAAGTGTTGAAGTTATTCATGTAAGATTTAATCATTTTGTTTGTTATTTAATGTTTGCTTTTTTTTTTTTTTTTTTGTGAACTTAATTGGACAGATACATGTACCGCTTGACCCGCCTCAGTGGACTTTGGATCCAAACAAATTGCTGACATCAATTACTGAGAGAACTAAAGCCATTGTGGTGAATAGGTTAGAACTTCACAAATTCATGATTCTCTTGACATTAGATAGACTTCGTCCTTATCATAGTAATCTTCAGATTCATCTTCTTTAATGGATTTTATTTTGAAGTAGATAAATACATGACAATAAGAAATACAAGTGCTATCAAGTTATGGTTTAAGCTAAAGATTATTGAAATTATGAATGTTAAAAGACTTTCAGTTTATCCATTTAACGTATTCTGCTGTCAGCTACTCATATGCTCGAATGTCGCAAGAGAAATTTGCAATCATTGGAGAAGTTTGGTGTGCCATTTATGTTTTTACTTTCTGTAATTAATCTGGATTGGTTGCATGAAGTGATTCTGTTATATAATAACAACCACTTATAATAAATTTTGTTTTTCAACATCAAAATGTTTGAAAGAGATGCTTAGTCTCACGATATGAATTACAAAATACTAACACAGAGTTTAAACAGTCCTCACAATCCAACTGGCAAGGTTTTCACAAAAGATGAACTTGGGACTATTGCTGAAGCATGCTGCAGCCGAAACTTCCTAGCTATAACAGATGAAGTATGACACTACTTTCCACTCATATATAACTTAAATCGTGAGATTTAGAAAAGATGTTTGTGGAATGAATAAAAACAGATGCTCATGATCCCTATGAATCATCTTCTGCCACGTCGATCGAGTATAATGGGAATGCCCAAGAGCGGCTAGGTCCTATATATGTGATTTTAGGGTGCCCCAGTTTTTGCATTAATCAGTAAACTACTTATACATTTGATCTCATCTCATGGCAGTAATTCTTTTCAAAACTTTGGTTTTTGTAGATAAATAGAAATTGATGTCTCTTATTTGCTTTTTATTTGGATTATATCATACTTCTCAACCTGAATTTGCTTGTGTTGAAGAAAAATTACTGGGAATTTTAATTCTGCAAGAGTAAAATAGTTGAATGGTAATTGAATAGTGTTACTCTCTCCGTCTTAAATTACAAGTCACTTTGCCAAAAATATTTGTCCCAAATTATAAGTCACTTTACAATCCCAATACATAATTAATAACTTTTTGCCTAATATACCCTCTATTATTTATTTCTCTTTCTTCTTTCTATTCTTTTAATTTCGCTTTCCAATGTAAGTATTGAAGGGCGTTTTTGTAAAGTCATGCATTATTTCACTTTTCCATAAAGTAATGATTGTATTTCTTAATTCGTGTGAAATGGCCAAAACGTCCTATAATTTGGGACGGAGGGAGTATATTTTTACCTTCTTCTGGATTCTGTGCAGGTGTATGAGCATATAACTTATGATAACCAAAAACATATATCCCTTGCCTCATTTCCAGGCATGCAAGAACGGACTATTATAACATCTTCTTTGTCAAAAACATTTAGCGTCACAGGTAACAACATCTAACAAGTCAAGCTCATGAAATTAAACTGCACTGGAAATTTTCGGGTTCTCTCCAGTCTCATTCTTTTTAAGAAGAACTGTGTTAACTCATTGTTTGTCTGTATCAATCAGGTTGGAGGGTCGGATGGGCAATTGCACCAGCCTGTATTGCGTCTGCTATCAGAAACATTCACGTAATAGTTACAGATTCTGCTCCAGCTCCCTTTCAGGAAGCTGCTTTGACTGCTTTGAGTAGCCCCCCTGAATACTTTGAATCACTGAGAAGAGTGAGACATTTAAATATACGTTTGATGAGACATTGTACGAGTGTTTATTCTATATAGCTTTAAAAAGCAGAACTTTGATGTTAATTACTATTTACTTATTTAGTAATAACTAATAACCGTCACTTCCCACAAAATAGAATGCAATCATAACAATGCTCAGTTTCTTACTTTTCTTTGGCACGGTTTGGAAAAAACAACTTAATTAAGTGCTTATGTATGAGGTCACAAGTACTATGTCAAATAAGCTCATATAAGTCAATCTGAATAGAATTTTTTTCACGATGTTTCCATCTATGCAGGATTATCAATCAAAAAGAGATTATATCGTCAAGTTGCTGGCGGGAGTTGGTTTTAAAATACAGTTTATACCTCAAGGCTCCTTCTTCTTATTCGCAGAGATTCCTGAGAATTGTTCCCTTTCAGATGTATGTGCACTCTTTTATTCTCTTCTCCATCTTGTGTAGGTCATTTTAAGAACTATTTTAATTGTCACAGTGCATTGGAGTAGTGATTTATCCATTATTCTGCTGCTAATTTATAGCAATGGGTGTTATTTGATTTGCAGGTAGAATTTGTTAAAAAGTTAATACTAGAAGCCGGGGTGGTGGCTGTTCCAGGACAAGGATTTTTTCATACCAACAACCTATCATCAAATGAAGCTTCTAATGCAAATTGTAATTACCAAAAGAGATACATCAGGTTTGCATTTTGCAAGAGCGAGGCAACTTTGGCAGCGGTTTCAGAAAGACTAGGAAAGCTTTTGGATGCTGCAGGGCATCTTGCACTACATTGAATTAGTAGAATGAATAATAGGTGATCAAGCTGTTGAGAAGAAGGTTTTATAAATTAAGAGGTTAATATTTGGTTTATATTAGACTATAGACCATTGTTGAATACTTAACAATGAAGGATCACTAGCACTGAAAGTTCTGGCACAATGCATGCTCTAAATATAATGAATTTTTATGTTAAAAGCATGTGTCAATGTAAGGATTACACACAGGAGAACATGTCCCTATTAATGTTAGTGGAATGCTTCTTCTTTCGTATGCAATCATCACTTTTTTGGTAGCAAAAGTTGTTGTTAACTTTATCATTGAAGTGAATTGTTCTTATCTCCAATATATCAAGATAGAACTCACCCATTAAAGTTTTTAATCTCTTTTGAAACGAAGATATGCTCTGCTATGGGTATGAATACGGGTATGGTATGAAATAGAATATTTTTTTTAAAAAAAAGTAAAGGTATGGGTACCTCAATAAAGGAAAAATTGCTTAGTCGAAATAATAATAATAAAAAATAATAATAAAAATAATAATAATGAAAAATTGACAAAGAAAAAAAAAGGAAATTTCACATATATTTTTTCTTGTTAAAAATAATAATAAAAAATTGGTTAGCCGAAATGAAACGGGTGTGGAAGGCAAGTGAAGAAGAAGGAAAAATAGGCTGATCGGCGAGGGGTGAGCAAAGCAAGTGTGTGGAGAAATGTCAACCGAGAATCAGATACACGATGTTGAAGTCGCAGATGAAGAACAAAGAACACCTCTTATTGCCCACGATGTTGAAGTTGCAGATAAATCTTTACCATCACTTCCTAATCAACGCCTTGTTTCTCTCGACGTCTTTCGCGGTCTAACCGTTGCGGTTCGTCCCTTCTTTTCAACCATAAACCCTTTTATTCAATTGCTTCATGTTCAGGAAAGTGAGTTTGTTATTTTAGCATCGATATTCATATAAACACTTGATTCAGTTGTTGATTACCATTTTTGTTAGTTATGTAAGTTAGTTACAATTTACAGTTACTAATCAGTTGGATTTTTGTTGCAGTTGATGATATTAGTTGATGACGTGGGACGGGCTTTCCCGTCCTTGAATCATTCTCCATGGTTTGGGGTTACTCTTGCTGATTTCGTAATGCCGTTTTTCCTATTCGGGGTTGGTGTTTCTATCGGTCTTGTGTTCAAGGTATTGTTTAGGACACTTGGGCAGTATGGTAGATTTAGGAATTGTATAGTGTTGGTAATTTATACAACTGTATTGTTGAGAAATATTTTAACTCTTGGATAGCCTTTCAGAAAGTCTCTAGCAAACCAAACGCTACAAAGAAAGTAATAGTGAGGACAATTAAGCTTTTTCTTTTGGGGATCTTGCTACAAGGTATGTTTTCCTGTGTTAAGGGATGCAGTCGATACCCACTGCTTTAATTGTTTCTTTTTGTAACTTATTCGTAGGTGGGTATTTCCATGGCCGCGGTAATTTAACTTATGGAATTGATTTAAACAAGATACGCTGGTTTGGTGTACTTCAGGTAATTGTAATGTAACCACTACTTATTCCTTACTATCTAACTTATTAGGTTTTTTTCTCTTTATTTCCAATTCTGGACGGTATAGCGTAGCTCATTATATGTAATTGATCTCCTAGTGGGAAAAGACTTTTATTGTTGTTGGTTATTCCTAATCTAGGAGATTTGATAATATTGTTGTACATCCTATTATCTCTTTGATTTACTTTGTGCCGCTGATTTTAACAGTTTCAAATTCATTGATTCTTACTGGCTTGATGTATTTGTTTGATCTATGGGTGTTAATAAGAAAAACACGCTGAGTATCTTTATAATGCTACTCCGTGTTGTATTTGAGTTTTCTCGCTGAAGTTTTGACTTAAGGCTGATTGTAGATTTGCAGTTGGTAGAAGAGTTATTGAGTTACTATATAGTCATTGAAATTGGTTTTTCTTTTATAGTAGGAAATTGGACTTGCAACTGTCACAATTAAGAAAATAATCAACTGCCTGTTGCTTTTGTTTTGTAAATGTGTTGTTAATTTAACACATAATTCCTTGTGTGGTATGCAGAGGATATCCATTGGATATTTCTTGGCCTCAATGTCAGAGATTTGGCTTGTCAACAATAATATTTTGGTTGGTTCACCAGCAGCTTTTGCGAGGAAATACTCCATCCAGTGGTTAGTTTATTTTTGTGACGTTAATGCTTTCATTTAACATCTAGGAGCTGAGAATGGTAGTTGAAAATTGCAATTTATAACAGACTATAAAATATTCACAGTAATGCTATGTTTCTTCATTATCATGGTTTATGTTGTTTCGGTCGAGTTAGTTTGTATCAAATCTCATCACATATTGATGTGGATTCTCTCCAAACTTATTGGATACAAATCATGAAATGACGCAACATTCTTTTGGGTTCTAATGCCCCTAAATTTATTCTCATGTGAAATGAGCGCTATTGTGTCATACAATGTTTTTTTATGTGCTTCACTATGGATTAGAACTTGCTTCAGATATGTACTTTTTTACCGATTCTGAGTAGCTTTCAAATTCGTTGATTGGATTAAAATCTCGATAATGAAAATGAAAAAGAATTCCCATCTTGCCATCTTTTTATTTTTTATTTTTATATAAAAACCCATCTTGCCGTCTATAGATAAGTTTTCTGAACTTAGATATGAAAGGTTGATGTGACTAATTGGAGTTCTAGAGAAATTTTCTTCATTCTGCAAGGGAAACTGCATAACCCTTGTAATAAACAAAACACTGAATTTATCTTTTTAAGCTTTTCAAGATATATTTCTTTTGCAAGCAAATAATCTGTTGAAATATATGAAAAATATCTTATAAATTGATAATATGTAAGTTGCATCTTAGAGTAAGTTGGGACAACTTATAACAAAACGTTTCAGGTTACTTTAATAGATCCAATACATGTTATGTCAAGTTTCAAAATTAAACTTCTGCTAGCACCAAATTTTGTTGCTTTATGATATTCTTTCTTTTTTCTAACTGCTTTTTTTTTTGTCCAGGATGTTTTCTATCATACTTTGCTCAGTATACCTTTGCTTGCTCTACACCCTCTATGTTCCAAATTGGAAGTTCAAACACTCTAACTTGCTTTGGTCTGGTCGTGTATCAACTATTCAAAATGTGAGTTGGCATGGTTTTGTCACTTTGTGCCATTGAATGCTGAAAGAATATTATGAAGTTTTCGGCTGAAGTTTAATTTATGCCTTCATTTGCACATAACTTTACTTATGAGTCATTCCCTACTTATTGATAGAGTTAACTTGCAATTTGGTTTCTTGTTGGTGATAGTTCCCGTACACTTTCAAGTTGTTCTGTAATATTGTATGACCTGAAGGCTTCAGCGTTGCATTTCAAGAAATAACGAATCATCTCTTTATCTAATACAAGACTTTTCATTTCTTAAAAATCGAATTTTAGGTTTGCATTTTATGTATTGATGAGTCCACATAGACTAGCATCAGTGCTCATTGCTATGTAAGCACAGTGAAAGGTGCATACCGAACTTGGAAAATAATAATGTCCAGATTGGGAAAATAATAATGTGAAGAGAGTCAAATATAAAGAGAATATGAATGTACGCAATAAGTGACACATTATGATGCTTGGTATTTCTTTTCTTGCTCCATTTAATATGGGGTCTTAGTTTTCTTGAATTCTACTTCCATTTTAGGCTTTTAGCTGCATTTTATGTTGCTATTTTCATTTTCATGACTCTCCCCAGGTAGTGGAAAGAAATCCTTTGCTGGTCGCTTTTTTTTTGTTTTGTTTTGTATTTTCTTTTTCATGGACAAAAAACTCAGCATCTAATTTTTGTTCTGCAGGTTCATTGTGAAATGAGGGGTAGCCTTGATCCACCTTGTAATGCGGTGGGATTTATTGATAGATTAATTCTTGGTGAAGATCATATGTACCAGCGTCCTGTCTACAGAAGAACAAAGGTTATTTACCTTCTAGCGTAACTCATGTATTGAATCTTCTGCCACCTCCAAAGTCTTTTTCTTTTGGTGTACAACAGAAGTCATTTATTTTATCCCTACAATTTTATTCTTGACCTCTTTTCATTTTTAGGAGTGCAGTGTCAATTCTCCTGATTATGGACCCTTACCTCCAGATTCACCTGGATGGTGCCTTGCACCATTTGACCCGGAGGGTATTTTGAGGTACAGTACAGTAGCATTCCCTTCTATGATACTCTTTTTCTTTTCTTTGTAGGTCATTGGGTTATTGGAGCCGACCCTTCAAGTGTGACCAATTTTGACAGTATTAAAATTTAGTTAATGTGCTGGTTGCTAACTATTTAATTAAATCTTCCAGTTCACTGATGGCTGCCATTACTTGTTTCATGGGATTGCAATTTGGGCATGTACTTGTAATATTTCAGGTTTGGTGTATCAGAATCCACTCTTAGTTCCTTTAGAATTTGCTCCTGAGACGCGTGTTTAACTATATCAACTAACTACTGCCTTTTCCATTCAGGATCACAAGCAGAGGGTACTCCTTTGGTCTGTGTTTTCCTTCTCTCTATTGGTAGTTGGATATATTCTGGAGATTTTAGGTACATTTGATCTAATTTAAGTTGGATCTAATTTAAATTTCTCAAAATTAAGATACATTTGATTCGCTTACTAACAACTGTAAAGTTTTCCAGGAATTCCTTTATCGAAAGCTCTGTACACATTAAGCTACATGTTCATCACCGCAGGGGCATCAGGCTTGGTTTTGACTGCTATATACTACATTGTAAGCTTGTACTTGTATCGTAATGTGTGTGTGTGTGCGCGCGCGTGTGTGTGAGTATTATATCCCAAGTTGAAAAGCATATGATTTTCTGATAGGCTTTCACGCGAAGAGTGAAAAGTGGTAGCTCCAGTGCTCAACCACTTGGTGTCTCTGATCACCAATAGGTGATTGTAACTGCGAATTCACATATCTATATATTGTTGCAGGTTGACATAGAACGTTTCACAAAGCCTACAGTTTTACTACAATGGATGGGAATGAATGCCCTTATTGTGTACGCATTGGCTGCTTGTGACATTTTACCAGCAATTATCCAGGGTTTCTATTATCGTTCTCCTGAAAATAACTTGGTAATGTTTCTTTTTCAATGGTTCTTTAGATCTCGTATTTCATTACATATTAAGCAGGAATTTGGTTTCAGAAGACTAGTTTATTACCGAATAGGCCATTGAAGCTAAATTTGAGACCTTTCCATACTTGATTGATAGATTTGGTTAATCGATTGTTCAACATGCAGGTTGATGTCTGCGAAGCTTTGATACAGAACATATTACATTCCAAGAAGTGGGGTACACTGGCTTTTGTAATAATTGAGATTTTATTCTGGGGTCTTTTAGCTGGTTTCCTCCACAAGAAAGGGATGTATATAAAATTGTAAGGAATGATGCAATCATGCAAAAGACAATGATATGTACATCTACTTGTAGATATCTTCTATTAGAAACCTGCAATGCTTTTTTGGCAAGCACATATCTGTTCGGTTATCTTTCTTGATTCTCCTATATAGCATGCCAAAGTTGTCTATCTTAGCTTTACCATAGAAATGTCTTAAGGCGAAAACTTCAGGAGTTCAGAGAGTATTGGGAATAATTACAGACAAATGATCTACCCTCCTTACTACATAATTCACATATACTTCTAATGGTTTTCCTGAAGTTGTAATCAGACATTTTTGAAGTTGTTCTCTACACTTCGTTTGGAATGAAAGATATAGGTGAGAAACGGGAAAAAAAATAAAGGTTATTTACGTTGGTATCTTTGGCGAGGGTAAGGGAAAAAAATGAATTTGTGTTGGACTATATCTTTGAGGGGGAAAAGAAGGAAATAGTGGGTGAGAGGAGAGAAAATATTCAAAACAGTATTCATAAATATTCTATACAAATTTATTTATTCTAATTTTTTATTACAACAAAATTGTTTCTTATTGAAATAGTAACTTTAGCCTATGATTGAAGATGTAATTAGTTAGTAAGAAAAGCAAATAATCCAATCTTGTCTGCTACTTCTTTGTGTGCTACTTTGTGAACTTTCTAGATCTAAATAACATGTGTGTTCACATTGTGGTTAGTTAGCATCTAAAATGGTATGTTTGCTTTCTTCCAGTTGAAGACAAGTTGTAAAAGAATCTTACAAGTAGTAAATGTTTCTTTGGATCTATTGGCATCTTTAACTCTGTCCTTGTCGTTCCCAAAAGTAAACTCATAAGTGATCATTTATCTGCCTCAATAATTTTGCTTCCTTTTTTATGATATTTCCCAAACTCTATATAAGTTAATGTGATATCATCTATCAACTATCATCCAAATATTTAGAAAAAAGAAACGAATGGATACTGAGAAAGGCAAAGCAGCGATATCAGATAATGCCGAGGACCATTCTGTTCAAAGATCTTCAAACATCAAACATGTTGAAGAGTTTCACTTTGGGAAAGCATTGGCATTCAGAGCAGTGTATGGTTCTAGTGGTTTTCAAGGCAGTAGAAGCAGAAAAACTAGAGGCAATGTTTCCAATACATCATCCCCAAGCAGGCTCAGTAAGGTCACATACACAGTAGTTGTTGACGATGACAAAGATAACTAGTTTGCTTGAAAATATGCTACTGTGTCTATCCTTTTAGTAAAGCTACATTGAAATTGAATATGGTTTACTGTAAGTTGTAACATAGTATAAGAGTAAGTTGTAACATAGTATAAGAGTGGGGAAACAAACAAGGAATCTTTATATTTCTTGTTGCAGAAATTGTTCTTCTTACATATTCTCTCTTTTTGCAGATTTAGGCAGTATACTTGTTTACTCCCTTTATTTTCACTTAATCTTAGGGATTAATTTTTAACTCTCACATTAAAGAAAAACACGTTTGTTTTTGAAAGTATAATTTGTTTAAAGATGTACTTTCATACTGCATAAAATGTTCTATTTTTTAGTGTAGGTTCAAAGTAATATCAGGTGGAGATAGTATGATTAATACCAAAATTAACAAAGAGAATTTGAGAGACAAGGATTATGATAATTAAATATGAATTAATGAGTTGTAAAATACATGAGGGAGAATGACTATATATGGCACATTAATTGTTAAGAGATGCAGTTGATTTTAACTTAATTCTACAAAATTGACTTGTAAAGTGTTTAGGTTATATATTATTTGATTTGAGACTCTTAATATGTACTGGTATGTCTAAGACTGGACATTTGAAGAGTGGAAATAAATAGTGGATTGTCCGATAAGGGAAATCTGATAGTAGATGACTCATTGGATCTTAAATGAGACTCTTGATATTATGTTAAAAAAATGTGATTGGATCTAACTCAATCATATAAAATCAACTTGTAGTGTGGGAGTTACCCCCACTTATAAACACATGTTTAATCTATATATTATCTAACGTAGAACTCTTCACATTAATCATCTCTAAAGTGGCTTACATTCTCACCAAGCAAGTAAATTAGCAACTACTTCTAAAGTCAGTTAAATGTAACCAACTCTTAATTAAAGGAACTAACAAATTAATAACATACAAGCAAAACTTGTTAGTCAAGCTACTAGGCAAGACATTGATTAGTCCTAGGATTACAATATTCAGCAATTTTTAATTTTAGGGATGTTCAAAAATATGATTAACTGAATTACACATTTGATTGAATGCATTGCACCACTTAAATAGTTAATGAATTGAACCATTTAATTAAAACAACTCAAATTCAATTTAGTTCTAGTTCAGAACCAATTTTCTTTTATAAACAGACTTAATTTTATATATTAGTTGTTCATAAAAATGATTAAAAAAACATTAATTGAGAGTAAACAAAATTTCTGAAAATAAATAATAAATTTTTTTTGAAAATTAAAAAAAATTCTTTTCTTAAAAATAAAGTTTTTTTCCTAAATAGAAAAAGAATTAACATCCACTTTTTCGAAAATATGAAAAAAAATCAATTTTTTCGAAAATACAATAAATTGATTTGTTTTTCGAAAATACATAAAAATAGAGTTTTTTCGAAAATATTTGAGTTTTTTCAAAAACATGAAAAAATTCAGTTTTTTCGGAAATATGAAAAAATCGAGTTTTTTTAGAAATATGAAAAAGTCAAGTTTTTCCAAAATACAAAAATCTAGTTTTTTTTCGGAAATATGAAAAAGTTGACTTTTTTTCGGAATTACGAAAAAGTCGAATTTTTTTTCCAAAAATACGAAAAAGTCGAGTTTTTTTTATGAAAAAGTCGAGTTTTTTCAAAATAATGAAAAAGTCGAGTTTTTTCAAAATAATGAAAAAGTCGAGTTTTTTTCAAAATAATGAAAAAGTAGAGTTTTTTTAGAAATACGAAAAAATCGAGTTTTTTTCTCGAAAATATGACAGTAGAGTTTTTCAGAAATATGAAAAAATCGGGTTTTTTCGAAAATACAAAAAATTAAGTTTTTTTCAAAAATATGACAATCGAGTTTTTTTCGGAAATATGAAAAAATCGAGTTTTTTTTAAAAATATAGAAAATCAACTTTTTTGAAATAGAAAAAATCGAGTTTTTTTGGAAATACAAAAAATCGAATTTTTTTCATAAATATGAAAAAGTCTAATTTTTTTTCGTAAACATGAAAAAATTGAGTTTTTTCAGAAATATGAAAAGTTGACTTTTTCCGAAAAATGCAAAATCAAGTTTTTTTTTTCAAAAATATGAAAAAGTCGAATTTTTTCGAAAATAGAAAAGTTGAGTTTTTTCAAAAAAATGAAAAAGTCAAGTTTTTTCGAAAATATGAAAAAGTCAAGTTTTTTCGAAAATATAAAAAAATTGAGTTTTTTCGGAACAACGAAAAAATCGAGTTTTTTTCGAAAATATGACGAAGTTGAGTATTTTCGAAAATATGAAAAAAACGAGTTTTTTTTCAAAAAATACAGAAAATTGAGGTTTTTTTTTTAAAGAAAAAGTCCAATTTTATAAAATACAAAAAAATCAGGTTTTTTCAAAAACAGAAAATTTAATTTTTTTAGTAATACGAAAGAATTGTTTTTTTTTTTGAAAATACGAAAAATTGAGTTTTTCGAAAACACGAAAAACTATTTTTTTTTTCCGAAAATACAAAACCTAAAAGAAAAAAAATTGAATTTTTTTTTCAAAAATAAAGTTTTTAAAAAAAGAAGTTATTTTAATATAAATTAGTTTAAATGTTTATGAAGTTAAAAGTTTTAGTTTTAAAAGAGTTCAAAATATACAAGTGATTTAAAATAGTAAACGAATTATAAATTAGTTTATAAATATAAATTAATTATAAACTAATTTTAAATTAAATTGATTATTTTTAATAATTAATTGAATTTTTATTGAAGTGATTATTTCAAACTGAACTGAATGCAGTTCATGAATCATAGACACTCCTATTTAATTCTAAGCGAATTAAAATAACAATTTCAATTTCTTTCGTAAACATTAGAAATTGGTCTCTTTTAAAAACTTTGCTGAACAAATTTGTCGGTTAGTCTCGGGTGATGCAACACTCCACGTTTCTCTTTATTTATTTGATCTCTAAGGTAATAAAACCTTGTTTCAAAGTGCTTGTTTTTCCCATGGCTAAAGTGATTTCTTGCTAGAATGATGGTTGACATGTTTTATATCTTCACTTCATTGCAATGTTGTTACTAATCTTCAATTTATTCAATTTATATGCATACTTGACTTGATGAAGTATTAGGCTTTTTTTTTGTGTTTCAAGAAATTTCATTCCTAAAAAGTAAGTGAGTTTTTCTAGGACGACAATTTAAAATTCAACTTTCATATTTCCTTTGAATGCTTTAATTTCAATGTTGTAACTATTTGTCACCAGTGGTTCATCTATATCCAGACATATGATTAGCATTTGGTTGTCAACAAACATTACATGATGCACTAGTTTCACCATCTACACCAATATGGCCTTGTAAAAGATAACAAAATGCATGGGTAAGATGTCGACTACATGCCTGAGCAGAATTACAAACCATTCATGGATGTTCAGAACGATGTGCATCATGACCCGTTGACGTCTCAATGCTGACACGAAATCAGAACCACATAGCACTGAGATATTATGGGAACGGTGTGTGTACATTAATACTTTTTTAAAATATTATTAGAATATTTCAAATAATTGAATTTTTTTTATTAATAATCATGTATTAAATTAATATTTCGCAAATAACCGGGTTTCGGAAAAAATTACGCAAATAATCATGTTTCAGATGGCTCCACAAAGGAGGAGCCATCTCAATTGGCGCATGCACCTAGGGTTTTGCCCTAGGCGCCATCTCACTTGGCGCCTCCCTTGTCTTTTAGCCAAGTGAGATGGCGCATGCTCCTTAAAAATGAGAGGAGGCGCCATCTCACTTGGCGCCTATGGCAAAACTATGATTTTTTGCTGTTTTATAAATAATTCGTCCGTTTCTTTGAAATTTCTCACACTTTCTCGCACTGTATTTTTATTTTGTACTCCCTTATTTACGTAATGACGTCGCCTATGATTTTTAGCAGAGATGGTTACGTTATATTCTCCGCCACGAAACCTGCGATGAAAATGAAATTCTGGCACATTCACTCCATGGAGCGTCTGAAGCGGGAGTTGATGCGGTGGCTAGATGGAGACATCGCCGAGGGGGAAAAAATTCGAAGGATCCAGCGAAAACGAACAACAATCTCGCATGCGACAGGAAGACCTAATGTGTGGTTGGAGGAAGTCAAAACAGACAGTGATGTAATGCTGATGATGCATGGGTCAGATGAAATTGTGTTAACAGTTGTAATTTCCTAGATTGAATATCGTTAATCATTGTTGTACGCGAAAACCCTAATGTAATTTCCTATATTGAATTTCTTAAATTGTGTTAACAGTTTTATTAACGGAAAACCCATAATGTTTACAACACAAATATTGAAAAGATTTATTGTATTACAAAATTTATGTGGTCGAGCTAGACGCCCGATTCAGACAGTTTTTGCGATTGTGTCCGACCTGACGGCATAAACCACACTTTCTTTCCAACCTGTCAAGATCGTCCATTTCTGTTGTGATGCGCCTGCTTTTGGGACGACCCTTCTTGTTCCTTCGCATTTGGTCATTGTGCCAAACTATATCATCGTTGTATTCAGGCCAATAGTCCGGTTTTGCCACCAAAGGAAAGTTGTTGTTGTAAACAGTGAGCAACGTTTCAGATTTATAAACGTTTGAGAGCAGTTGAAGCGCGTCTTGATGGGTATGAGCACAAGCGGCAATGACATGAGAGCAAGGCATACGAAAAGCTTGAAACCTGCCACAATCGCACCATTGAGAAGGTAAAATGACCCTGTATTCTTGTCTTGCCAGGCCTTCATTGTGGTCAATTGTCTCTTTCACAATGAAGTTGTGGCTATGGCGGTCAAACCGTGTAACCATGTGAGTGTTGGCTTTAGCACTTTCAGCCTTAATGTATTTCATACAGCTTTCACTCCATAGTTGTCCTGATTGCAAGACCGCATACCACATTTCACCTCTTTTGGCAAATAACGCAGCCATCCTAAAATACGTGGATTTCACCAAGGCAGTGATGGGGAGGTTTCGTATGCCCTTGAATACCCC